GCTGAAGTCAAGATGTCAGCTGGAACAGCAATTTCTGAAGACGTTATTTGGGCTAAAGGATCCACTTCTGGGCTCACTGACATGGCTGTTGACAGGAAGCTTCGTTCATCACCATGTGAGCCTCTCCATGGGACCACTTAGGACATGGTTTCCCCTACATGAGGGAGAGGAGACAGTGAGCAAGCACAAGATGAAGCTCCAGTCTTTTATACCCTAATCTTGGATGTGATATGCTATCAACCTCTGCCATATTCCGTTGGTTACACAAATCAACTCTGGTAGAATGTAGGAGGGAACTACACCAGGGTGTGAATACCAGGAAATAGGGATCATTGAGGACCATCTTGGAGACTGGCTATTACACAGTCATTATATTCCTCATTTTTGCCCAAATAATTTCTCATGGCAGTTACTTAAGCTGCCTTCAGAAGGCACTTCATTCTGGGCAATGACAAGTGATAATCTAGTGATGACCATGGGCTTCCAGTGCCCTTGAGCAGGATCCTCACTGCATTCAAACCCAACAGTCAGATAAGCAATCCCAGAATTTGTTGCCTGAAACTAACAGCTGGTACTAATTACTGTATTGGTTAGTGTTCTGTTGCAGAGAACAGATTATTCCAGCCAGTTTAAGGAAGGAAATTACTGAAGGATATTAAATGTTTGAAAGAATTACAGAACTGGCTGAAGAACCAGACTGACTATAGGCTGAGCTTCCATTGATTTCCAGAGCTGCACTACAGGAGAAACCCTCTAAGGGAGCTACTGCTCCTGCATGATGGGAAGCCCTCTGGAGCTTTGGTGAATTGGGAAGCCACCTCTGCAGCTGCTAGCTTTGGAACCAGAGTACTTCTGCTAACAAGAAGTAGCTGGTCTAATCAGGAAGCTGCTGCTACTATGCAGCCAGTGGTTTAAACAGGAAGCCAATGACTACTACATCAGGAAACTGCCACTCTTATCCACACAAGTAAAAATGGTTGCCTTATGCTGCCTCTCTGTTTACCTCAACTCCAAATTTAAGTTTCATATTCACACATGTATATATGAACAGTAGAAAGTAAATCACATCCAGAACTCTGTCTGCAAGGAAGCTGAAAATGTAGTTTTAGCTTTCTAGTTTCTGAAATGTAGGAGTACATGCTAGAAAGAAGTTGGAGTAGATATTAAGCAAGAGAAGCCACATGTTAGCCAAACCAGCATTCAAGCCTGAGAGCAAAATGAAAAGTTTGCCCAGTAGCACGCACAGACCCTTTCTGAAAGAACTAGTTAAGGATATACAGGCATACCTTGGAGATAGTGCCACTTCTGTTCCAGACCACCACAAGCAATAAGGCGAGTATTGCAGTAAAGCATGTCACACAAATTTCTTAGTTTCCCAATGCATATAAAAGTTTTATTTACATTATAATATATGACGATTAAAGGAGCTTTGGTGATGCAGTGCATAAGGCATCTGACTGCTAACCAGAGGTTGGTTCAAACCCCACTAGCTGCTCTACTGGAGGGAGATGAGGCAATCTACTTCGGGAAAGATTTACAGCCTTGGAAACCCAATGGTGGTCACTATGAGTCAGAATTGACTTGATGGCAGTGAGTTTTGCATTCTAGTAAAATGACAATGAATATAGGGAGATTAAAATTCAAGAAACTGTAGTAAATAAGGAAAACTGAGAAGTTCAATCTGAATAATTGCAGAAGTACTAAAAAGTTGGCAATTAACTTTTTAAATTGTAGGTAAAACATTGGTAACAAAACAATTGCTGTTGCAATAATTTTCACATGTACAGTTCAGTGTGAACTTTATAATTTGTATATCACATAAAACTTTTTAATTTGTCTACATTTTCAGTATATACTGTTTAAGAAATTTTTATAAACCATTGAATTGCTAGTTATTACAATTTTTATTCTGCTGAGTTATAACCTAGTTTAAAAGTTTCTAATGATAAACAGTCTTACTCTTTATTTTAGAAATATACATCAACAAATAAAACTAAGCACTAGCCTTATCAAAATAGCTTCTTAAAGTATCAACTACATCATTTTATTAAATTTTTATTTGTTAATGTTTAGTTTTTAGCATCCTTGACTCATCTTTGAAGCACTTAGTTTTACTTTGAGTTTGAACTTTAAGAATTAGGAAAATTCTTAAAGCCATTGATACTCTTTTTGGGTGGAAAAAAAAACCAACCTTATATTTATGGCCTAAGGGAGAATACTAATAGAAACAAATTATAATTAAAAAGTCTTTGTACACATGTTGTTTGACATAATTTATAAAAACAACTTATGAGCCTCACAATAACTGCAAGAGATGGTTAATTTTCAAATTTTCAGGCTCCACCTCAGATTCATCCAATAGGTCTGGGAAAGCTTCATTGTTTAGTAAGCACCCCAAATGATTCTGGTGCAGGTAGTCCCTGGACCACACTTTGAAAAATACTGATTTAGAATGTGAGGGAGGATAGTTTATCCTGTGAAAGGCAATGTCTCTGTTACATCATTTAATCTTAACTACAGCAATCAGATAGTAATCTCATTTTACAAGTGGGAAAACCGAGGCCCAAAAGGATGAGTAACTGCTCAAGGTCACATTAGATACTGGAGTTGGGATGCAAACCCAGGTGTGTTTAATTCTTATGCCTTAATTTATACTGTACCACACCTACGTAGATGCTCACAGGTACCTGTGAACTGTTGTTGTTGTTATTTGCCATCGAGTCGGCCCCAACTCATAGCGACCCCTCCTTGGGTTTCCGAGGCAGTATCACTATGGAAGTAGGAATGCTCAACCTTCCTTTTACCTGTGAACTAAGAATATCAAAATGAAATTCATGATTGCTTTACCTCTCTACCCCTCATCCTTCTAACCCAACCCGCTATTCCTGTCTCAGTTAATGGAGTTTACAAAATTAGAAACTCAGGATCATTACAGACCTCTTCTTTCCACAACAGAATTCCATTGATTGTATACCTCTTTCCCCCAATCAGGGATACTGATAGTCATACAAAAATTTATATCCATATGTATTATCTCCATCATCCATCCATCCCAGGGAGGGAGTCGGATATATGTATGAAATGCCCTTTCTCAACCCAGTCCCTTTGTATATCCTAGTCCCTCTTATAGGGACAAATTCCTGACTCCCATTCAAACTTTCAGATCAAGTTTAAATAGTTACAAAAACTTATAAAAAAAAAGTTCTCTATTCATAGTTCTGTACACCTACTACTTTTACTTTGTACATTTCATGTCCATGTGCCCTCACTAGATTGTTTTCTAAAGGGCAGGGAATATATCTTACCCAATTTTATAACTCCACTATCATGCTTGGCATGATGAACTATTATACTTATGAATTAATCAATTCATAAAAGTTTCCTAATAATATTAGTGCCCACAGGATTGCTAAGTGACAGCTGGGGCTGGTACCCCAACTTTCTGGTTTTTGTGTTAAAAAATCTTTCTAGCACACAAACAATTAGCATAAGAATACTCAACAGAGTAAAGAGAGGAAACATTCCAGGAAATGGTCTCAATAATACCTTTGAATATTCTTTATGTGTATAAATTATAGGGAGAAAAGCTGTGACTCAACCTTTTTTCTTTGGGTTAGAAAATCTCTTGATTACCTGGATAGATATACTAATCTAAAAAGTTAAACTGAGTCTCAAGCACTATGAATAAGCCCATTAATTTTCACAGAAATGTATCTAGAGGTAAGCTTTTCACTGATTGGAGCTGGATATTATTTATACAGGGAAAAAAATACTTTGCACATAATGTTAGTTGCTGTAAAGTTGATGGCCACCCCAAGTGTGCAAAACACAACTGCACTCCATGGTTTTTTGTTTGTTTTTAATAATAATTTCTTGTGTTTTTGTTGAATGTTTATACAGCAAAACAGGTTCCCATTTAACAATTTTTGTACACACTGTTCAATGATGTTGGTTACATAGATCACCAGACCGGTCTTCTGAGGTGCCTCTGTTGGGGAGGGGTTTGAGCTGCCAACCTTTTGGCTAGTAGTCAAGTGCTTAACCATTTGTGCCACCAGGGATTCTCTTTGCACATAATAAATCCTCCAAAAATGTTTAGCCTAAAATTGAAATGAAATACATACCTTTGGGAAAAATTTTTACTTAATACCTGTAATTTATGGAGCTGTCACTAGGTGGAGTGGCACTGCTAGATTACCAAACCAACCCAGCTGTCAAGTAGAATCTGACTGACAGCAACCAAAAGAAGAGTGGAACTACCTCATGGGGCTTCCAAGGCTGTATTCTATACAGGAGCAAACTGCCCCATCTTTCTCCCATGTATGGGTTCGAACCTCCAAACTTTCAGTGAGCAGCCAAGTGCATAACCACTGTGTTACCAGAACACTTTACTGCTATATTAGGAAGACATATATATATATCCAAGTGTTCCCTCTACAAATTAAATGCCTCAGAACCCTTAAAAACCATTCAGTAGAAGTTAATTTTTCTTTAGAAACACATTTACTTGGGGGAAAAAAATTTATACACACATAGGAAAAACCACTGCCATTGAGTTGATTCCGACTCATAGGCGCCCCCAATCAGTTTCCAAGGCTGTAGATCTTTACAAAAATAGTAGATTACCTCATCTTCCATGGAGCAGCTGGTGGGCTGAGCTGCCAACCTTCTGGTTAACAGCTAAATGCCTTAGCCACTACGTCACCAGAACTCCTCTACACACACACACACACACACTCACTCACATAATGACCACCTGATTCATACTGAAGATTAGAAAAGTTACTTTTCCTAATAAAGAGACTCCTCCCACCCAATTCTAAAGAAGAGAGTTTGGCTGCATATTTCCAGTATTTTCTGGTCTCCCCATTGCTCACCTTACAGATCTTCCACTGGAGGTATATTAATTTCCTCCTCAACTCTAAAAATAACTGCACAGATTAGGGCATTTACATCTTCTAGTGTCATAGAATTGTTTATTGTTTTAAATAAGAAGGAATTTAAAAATTGTCTAGCTTAATGCTCTTTAACATAGTGTCTGAAAGTTCAGAATAGTGGTTTAGCTACAAAATAAAAGCAAAATTTAGAAAATTTATCAATATGCATCAATGAAGACCTTTTGGTATATTCTGTAAAGGAAGCATATCAACATTGTGTTGATTGTCTTTGGTTTTCTAACCCAGTGTTTCATAACATGCTTGGGTCACAATCCCCTTTGGGAGCCTGGTAAAAACTATATATCCTCTTTCTAGGGGGGAAAAAAAAAATGAGCACATATACACAAAAACAATGCAATTTCAGGAAGTAAACTTTGACCCTTTGAAGTCTTTTTAGATTCTTAGTTGAAAACTGCATTTAAGCCTTCAAATTCAAGATAACAGATAAAGCTTTTGTTAAAAAAT